CCTCTATTTTAAGGACCTTTGTGATTATGTTGATTTCATCTGGATAACCAGGTTGCTTATTCATAAAGTCTTTAACTTACATCTGTCAAGGTCATTTTTTGCTACATAAGGTAGAATCCTTATGATACAGCCCCAGTGACTGGAGGAACACCAGGGTTCTTGGTCTCACACTGCTTTAGATAAAACTCCACAGAATCTCGTGGAGTGGTTTTAAGGAAAGAAAAGTTGAATATGCAAGAAGGAAGGAAGAAGAAAACAGCTAAACAGCTCCCCCATACAGAGACAGAGGACGGGGGATTCGAACAGAGAGATAACTCCATGTGCAGTGGAAAAGTGGCTGCTTATAGGAGGAGGCTGAAGGAGGTGATGTCTGATTTGCATAGGGCTCAGGGGATTGGTGTGACCAGGCATGTTACTGATGTAGCCTGAGAAAAAACTGGCCCTCCCACCCTAGCTTTTTATATGCAAATGAAGGGCACCATAATGTTCTACACACATGGGGATATGTTGGGGCAGTCATGTTGCCAGGTACATGTCAGGGCAAGGAAAAAGAAGGTGGAAATTGCCATGTTTGGGTGAACCCAGTTTCTCATGGCTTTCATTTGCATATCAAAGCTTGCCTGCCTGGCTCTAAGAGCCAGGGCTTTCCTAGCAGACAAAAAATATTTCTGGAGTTGCTTTAAAAGAAACAAAACCTTCCCAAGGACCCCTTTTCCTCTCTATCTGCCTAAAATAATTTCTTAATAACTCTTATAAAACTTAGGTTCCAGAGACGAGGACATGGACATCTTTTGAGGTAGGACATTATTCATTCCACCAAAAATTAATATATTCCCCAAAATTGACCTCTCTAATGTGAAATTTTAAAAATCACGAAGTATTTTTATGAAGCAAGAGAGCTGGACAAAATCTTAGACTTAGTCAGAGTCTAACTTGTGAGTCCTCTAACTTGTGAGTTTTAGCTGTTGGGATGTGCTCATTCCACTGTCTCTACTGTAGACTTATGGATGTGTAGATAATTTTAGAGGATTTTTAAATTTTTTGACCCAGTGTAAACAAAACAGTATCTGAGACAGGTCTCAATCAATTTATAGGTTTATTTGCCAAAGATAAGGCGTATGGCCTGTAACACAACCTTAGGAGGTCCGGCAAACAAGTACCCAAGGTGGTTGAATTACACATTGGTTTTATACATTTTAGGGAGATGCAGATATTACAGGCAAAGACACAAATCAATACATATAAGATAAACATTAGTTTGTCCTGGAAAGGTGGGATATCTTGAAGGAAGGGCTTCCTGATCATACATGGATTCAAAGGTTTCCTGACTGGCAACTGGTTGAAAGAGGAAAGCTCTGCCTAAACAGTTGAATTCATCATAAAAAAATGCTTGAGTTTAGATAAGGGAGCGTAGAAGTCAAGTTTCTTGTCATGTAGATGAATCCTATGGGTAGCAGACAAAGTAGATGTGGCCGGGGGGGGAGCTTATCAGACCTTAGGAAAAAAAATGTCAGATGCTTTGGGAAAGACTTAGTAAGGGAAGGAGATTCTCTACAAAATGCAAATTTTCCCGACAACAGGTAGCTTTGCAGGACCACTTCCGAATAGATCAAATAAACATTTTTAGGGTAAAATATTTTGATTTTCTTCAGGGCCTATTATCTGTCATGTTGGAGTACGGTATCTTATTGTTACAAGGAGTCTGTTTTGTAAGTCCAAAGATCTCAGCTGTAATGATAATGCTGGTCAGTTTTGTCTGAACCCCAAAGGGAGGCGAGCATAATGAGGCACATCTAAATCCACCTGCCAGTCAGGGCCTAACCTAGTTTTTCAGATTTCTTTGAAGTTCTCTCTGCCAAAAGAGGAGTCCACTCAGCTGGTTGGTGGCGTACAACTTAATTTTTGGTTTTAACACCTGGAAAAAAAAAATCATTGCATAAATTCAATATAAAATAGATTGGTAAAGAAAAATTGTTTCCTGAATATTCCTACATGTCAAAGATAAAGAAATGATAAGAATTGAGATGATTAATATCCCTCGTACCAAAGAATAATGATTTTATTTTTTACTATCTTAGTTTGGGTCCACCAGCAATGATGATTTCCATTTAAGCAGCAAATTTACACTGGGAGGAAAAGAGGAAAGTGAGGAAGGGAACAGAAGATGAATGTTAAAAGACACATCAACAACTCACCTGACTCAGGAGAACTGAAGATCAACCACATGTAGAAACATGGACTAAATTCCTTTGGGCTGTTCCACCTGAGAGATTAGGAAATTGGGGTATGTATACCCCTCATCCTGTCCTCACTGATTGTCAGGTGTCTCTCTTGTTCTATTTCAAGCTGCTATAACAGATTCCTTGTCACTGTGTAATTCATAAAGAACAGAAATTTATTTTCTCACATTTCTGGAGAACGAGAAATTTAAGATCAAGGCATGGGCAGCTTAAGGTCAGTTTTCTCTACTTTCAAGATGATGCCTGGATAGCTGAGTTCTTCAAAGGAAGGAAGGCCATGTCTTAACATGACAGACAAGCAGAAGAGAGAGTGAGATCCCAGCCTTATAATCCCTGTTTATAGTGACATTAATGAATTCCACTAGAGGGCTCCACCCTCATGACCTAAACACATCCCTATAAGCCCCACCTGGAAATACCTTTACACTGAGAATTAACTTTACAACAGATGGATTCTGGAGGACACAGTCAAACCATAGAACTTTCCTAAGACATACACATTGCAGGCCATCTGGCTAGCAGGGCATGCAGGCAGAGTTCTCTGCCCAAGATCATAAAGAACATAAGATATACATATGGCCATTGGAAGTGACCAGAGGTACAGCAAACGGGAAAGCCCTAGGCTACAGACAGGACTGTGATATTCATCCTGCTACAGTTAAGCCTTGAATAACTTGAGTTTGAAATTTGCAGATCCACCTACATTTTTTTCTGTGTGTGTCACCTGTGAGTAAGCACTTAATTAGTAATAGATATGTTGACTCATTGTTATGATCTTCTTAATAACATTTTTTTCTTTAGCATACTTTATTAGAAGAAAGGGTATATAATATATCGACTATTCATTTCATCACTAAGGCTTTTAGTCAAAAGTAAGTGATTAGTACTTGAGTTAGGGATGCAAAAGTTCTACACAGGTTTTCCACTGCACCTGTGGTCAGTCCTCTAACCTCCATGTCGTTCAGGGGTCAACTGCTCTTTCTCTCTCTACCTGCGTCTCTCGGGAACAGGATTCTGGCAGGCAGGTTACAAGTAAACGAATCCAGAAAATACTATCTCAAGTTATCTTGAATTAGTGTTATGATTATGTGAAACCAAAGTCATTTAGAAAGCAGCAAATGCACAAAAAGTCTTTTCCTAAATATCCCTTATCTGCTTAAAAGCAGATTCTCCAGAAGGAAACCGATCGTCAAGAAAATTCTGCCTAGGAAATTTTATATCAGGGAAGATTAACATAGAACAGGAATCAAAAATAGAAGAGATTGGAAGTTGATGCTTTATCTAGACAAGCCGTTACCTATTCTTTTGAGGATGCACTTCTGTTCTCATCTATTCTCTCCAGGTTGCCTACACTTCCCAATTCCCTCTTCCCTAGAAAGGAAATATGAACAACTGGATCTCATTGAGTTATCAGGGTAATCACCCTGCTATGATATCCCACTGCATTTTAAATGAATTTTGTTTTCCTTTTCTCTCATATATCTTTCTTTTGTCAGTTCATTTTCAGCAAACATTTAGAAGACAAATGGAGATTTCTTCATTTCTCTCAATATAACTAAGTTCCCTTACAATTCAGGCTGCTTACAAAGCAGCAGGAAGGTTTGTGCACAGGCTACAGCACTGTCATTTTGCTCTCCGAGTCTGGTATCAGTAAAATATTGTGGAGCCCTAGGCTGTAGCCCAGTGATGCCAATGTAGTTGGAGCCATTTCCCCTGCTACTGAGCCAGGCTGGGACATTTTTGGGTACATTAGAGATGTGCGATATAAGGATTGCAAATCATTTCCAGGTTCATTTGGATCAAACTCCTTTCTCCATGTACATAGGCAATTGCTTGATAAGAGATTCAGTGTCTCTTTCCTAAAAATGTTAACAGGGTCGCTGGTGTCTGGGTCATGGTGATGTCCCAATCACTGATGAAATGTAAAAGAGGAAAGTGTTATTGATGGTGCACGGCAGGGACATGCTCCGTATAGTGGTCACCCTCACTAAGAAAGAAGAACTTTGGGAAATAATACTCAGTGGCAGAAAAGAAGGTAGACTATGGAGGAGCCCAAAACAAGAATAAGGTGCAGCCCATTTAGTCTCTGGGTACTATAAAGATCTGCAGCTCTTGATAATGGCGGATGTGCGAGTGCTGCATTCATTGAGGAAATACAGTATCATCTCTGTGCATCTGTAGTAAACTGCTTGATCTTATAGTGGTAAGAACAATGGCATAACACCATTTGCTTGATTCTTAACGAATATACGTAGCATCATGTCAATAAATTTTATTTTTAATTTTTTTATAAAGGAACAATGTTAAACTCACAGAAATGTTGCAAGTATAGTACAAAGTAACCCCTTCCCTAATCGCTATCTCATGACAGTCTTTTGAATACCTGAGAACCATACCATTTAACATTTTACTATGTATTTCCTACACACAAGAATACTCTTCTAAATAATCCCCATACACCAATGAAATACATTACTCCATCGACTCCTGAGGAATATTTCAAACGGTCAAAAAAAAAAATACCGAAAAAATGTCTCTCATAACAAAATAGTCCCCAGTGGAAACATATTCTCTGCCAACAAATTTGTGCTACCCTGCTCTTACCTGGGACACTTGGGGACACTGAGCTGGTGCTGAGTTACTCTGATCAGCCAGCCCTGCAGCTGTGCCCAGTCCGCCCCATCCCCTGCTCATTTGCATGTTCTCAGAGCACATCCTCCTGCCCTGAAGACTTCTTAATAGGCCGGTCACACTTCTTGCAGGAGTCAGACACAGTCAGGACACAGCATGGACATGATGGCCCCCGCTCATCTCCTAGGGCTCCTGCTGCTCTGGCTCCCAGGTAAGGAAGGAGAACACTAGGAATTTACTCAGCCCCGTGTGCTCAGTACAGCCTGGCTCTTCAGGGAACTTCTCTTACAACGTGATTAGTTGTGTGGACATTTGCTTTTATGTTTCCAATCTCAGGTGCCAGATGTGACATCCAGATGACCCAGTCTCCATCCTCCCTGTCTGCATCTGTAGGAGACACTGTCACCATCTCTTGCCAGGCAAGTCAGGGCATTAGCAGTTATTTAAATTGGTATCAGCAAAAACCGGGGAAAGCCCCTAAGCTCCTGATCTATTATGCAACCACTTTGCAAAGTGGGGTCCCATCAAGGTTCAGCGGCAGTGGATCTGGGACAGAATTCACTCTCACCATCAGCAGCCTGCAGCCTGAAGATTTTGCCGCTTATTACTGTCAACAGTATAAAAGTTTACCTCCCACAGTGTTACACACCCGAACATAAACCCCCAGGGAAGCAGATGTGTGAGGCTGGGCTGCCCCAGCTGCTCCTCCTGATGCCTCCATGGGCTGAGAGTGTTCCTCAGATGCAGCCACACTCTGATGGTGTTGGTAGAGGGGGACATGAAGTCACCTCTGCATCCCAATTCCCTTTACTTTCTCAGCCCCAGCTGCACAGACATAACAATGTCTCTGCTGATTTAATGAAGACAGAGATCATGACACCTGAGGAATCTAGTTTGTGGCTTCAGTTGGAATTCATATAACAGAGAAGAAGCCACTATAGATCTTTTAAGCAGCAATTGTCTTAATACAGAGAATTAGAGTCTAAAGTATTGACATCTAATTAAAATGTAGAGATAAATCTCTAAATTTAATGATTGCTAATTTAATAGTTGCTAAGAAATGTTTGCCAAATGGCGCATACAGGAAAACTCAGTGGTCTGCAATATGTTGGAAGAACAAAGAGTTTTATGAAAAAGGGAAATTACTACCTATCGTTCTTTGAGAAATTTTATTGTCTCTAGTCAGAATTGGGAGCTGACAAGTTCAGACTGGCAAGCAGTGGTGGACAAACTGAATCCTAGAATTATATCAAGTTATCTCAGAAGTTGTGGGTAAATTTGATGTCAGTTTACAATAACCCAAAGCAGTGAAGCTTGCATATAATTTTGTTACTGATATGCCAGGGATTCAATGTAGATCCTGTTGCTCACCACACAGAAACCCAATCACTAAGACAACAGTATTGCCAAGGAACAGGCTTTAATCAGGTGCTGCAGCCGAGGAGATGGGACACCATTCTCAAATGTATCTCCCTGACCAACTAAAAGTAGGTGTTTAGATAGCAGGGAAGAAATGTGGGAAAACAGGAATTAGGGAGGGGTAAAGAAGATAATTTGGTCAACAGGAAGCAGGAGGTCAGTTAAGCAATCATGATGGGCAAAGGGTCTGATGTCTCACTGTCCCAATTCAGTGATATGTAACTTTCAGCTCCTTGATTGTATCTAGAGGCCTGATGGTTGGTTTCCTGAAAAAAGAACTCAGATTAACAAATGTAACTATCTTGAGCTTTAAGACTGGGGGAGTCAGTTTCTATGTTTATTCAAAAAACCATAAACATTAGTTCCATGGGATAATAAGGCCTATGTCAATTGCATTCTATAAGCAATATTTTGCATCCCGAGTGCCTTTCCCTCCTGGTTTCTTGCCTCTGTTGGGTATGACAAGAATGATCGAATTCCTATGATTAACTTTTACACTACAACCTTTCAAAGCCAAGGATACTGTAGTCAGGAAGGTTGATAATAGAAGCAGGATTCTCTGGTACTCCCTCAGAAAATAGAATGCATCTGCCCCTGAAGTATGGGCTATCTAACCATGTCATCCTCAGTCCTGTCTGAAAGCTTAAGGATGGTGGTGCTGCTGTTCTCAGCTTCCTACAGCATCTTTCAGGTTCTTCTCCAGGCACATGTGTTGACAAGGAAGAAGACAGTGGGAATCGCCATGTTTGGGTGAATCTAGTTTCTAATGGCTGGCATTCGCATAGGAAAGCTCCCCAACCTGGCTCTAGGAGCCAGGGCTTTCCTCTAGACAAGAAGTGTTTCTAGAGCTGCTTTAAAAGAAATAAAACCTTCCCAAGGACCCTTTTTCCTCTCTCTCTGCCTAAAATAATTTCTTAAAAACTCCTATAACACTTCGGTTCCAGATACAAGGACATGGACTTCTTTTGGGGTGGGACATTATTCATTCCACCAACAATAAACATTTTCCCCAAAATTGTCCTACTTACGAATCAAGAGAGCTGGACAAAATCTTAGACTCAGATTCCTCTAACTTGTGAGTTTTATCTGTTGGGGTTCACTCACTCCACTATCTCTAATGTAGATTTGTTGATGTGTGGATCATTTTAGAGGATTTTTAAATTTTGTGACCCAGTGTAAACAAAACAGTATCTGAGACAGGTCTCAATCAGTTTACAGGGTTATTTTGCCAAAAATAAGGCTTATGGCCTGTGACACAGCCTTAGGAGGTCCTGTAAACATGTACCCAACGTGGTTGGGTACATTGGTTTTATGCACTTTAGGGAGACACAGAAATTACAGGCAAAGACATACATCAATACATATCAGATATACATTAGTTTGTCCTGGAAAGGTGGGAAAGCTTCAAGCAGGGGCTTCCAGGTCATAGGTGGATTCAAAGCTTTCCTGACTGGCTACTGGTTGAAAGAGTTAAGCTCTGTCTAAAGAGTTGAATTCATCATAAAGAAATACTTGATTCTAGAAAAGGGGTTGTGGAAGCAAAGGTTCTTGTCATGTAGATGAATCCTATGGGTAGCAAATAAAGTAGATGGTGAATGTTGCTATCAGACCTTTAAAAAAATGTCAGACTCTTTTAAAAAGACTTAGTAAGGGGAGGAGATTCTCTATAGAATGCAAATTTCCCCCACAACAGGCAGCTTTGCAGATCCACTTCAGAATATATCAAAGAAATATTTTTAGGGTAAAATATTTAGATTTTTTTCAGGGCCTATTCTCTGTCATATTGGAGTATGGTATCTTATTGCTACAAAGTATCTGTTTTATCAGTCTAATGATCTCTGTTATAATGATAATGCTGGTCAGTTGTGTCTGAACTCCAAAGGGAGGAGAGTATAATGAGGCACATCTAAGCTCACCTGCCAGTCATGCCCTAACCTAGTTTGTCAGATTTCTTTGAAGTTCTCTCTATCAAAAGAGGAATCCATTCAGCTGTTTGGTGGCTTACAACTTAATTTTTGGTTTTAACACACAGAAAAACAAAATCACTTCACAAATTCAATGTAAAATAGTTGGTAAAAAAAAAAAAAAATTAAGTGTTTCCTGAATATTCCTATATTTAAAAGAAAAAGAAATTATTAGAATTCAGATGAGAAATACCTCTCATACGAAAGATTTAACGATTTTTTTTTTCCAGTATCTTAGTTTGGGTCCACCAGCAATGAGGATTCCTGTTTAGGCAGCAAATTTACACTGGGAGGAAGGAGGAAAGTGAGGAAGAGAACAGAAGATGAATGGTAAAAGACACATCAACAATCCACCTGACTCAGGATAACTGAAGATCAACCACATGTGGAAACAATGGACTAAATTCCTCTGGGCTCTTCCACCTGAGAGATGAGGAAGCTGGGGTATGTATACCCCTCATCCTGTCCTCACTGATTGTGAACTGTCTCTCTTGCTCTCTTTCAAGCTGCTATAACAGATTCCTTGTCACTGTGTAATTCATAAAAAGTTGAGATATATTTTCTCACACTTCTGGAGAATGGGAAATTTAAGATCAAGGCATGGGCAAGTTAAGGACTGCTTACTCCAGTTTCAAGATGATACCGGGAGTTTTGGGTCCTTCAAAGGAAGGAACGCCATATCTTAATGTGACAGACGAGTCGAAGAGAGACAGAGATCCCAGCCCTATAATCCCTGTTTATAGTGGCATTAATGTATTCCACTAGAGGGCTCCACCCTGACGACCTAAACACATCCGAGTAGGCCCTACCTGGCAATACCATTACACTGAGAATTAACTTTACAACAGATGGATTCTGGAGGACGGAGTCAAACCATAGCACTTTCTAAGGGATACACATTCCAGGCCCTTTGGTCACCAACGCACGCAGGCAGAGTTCTCTGCCCAAGATCATAAAGAGCATAAGACATGGATATTGCCACTGGAAGTAAGCAGAGGTACAGCAAAGGGGAAAGCCCTAGACTACAGATGGGGACTGCTACATTCATCCTGGTTCAGTTAACCCTCGAATAAATTGGGTTTGAAATTTGCAGATCCACTTATATTTTCTTGTGTGTGTGTCACCTGTGAGCAAGCACTTAATAAGTAGTAAATATATTTTCTCCTTTTTATAGTTTTCTTAATAACTTAATAATAATTGTTTTCTTTACCATGCTTTATTGGAATAATAGAGTATATAATATAAATAACTTAAAAACATAGTTAATCAACTATTTATTTTACCACTAAGGCTAACAGTCAAAAGTAAGCTATTAGTACTTAAGTTAGAAATGTAAAAGTTCTACACAGGTTTTCATCTGCAGCAGTGATCAGTGCCCCAACCTCCAAGTTGTTCAGGGGTCAACTGCCCTTTCAGTCTGTAGCTGCATCTCTCTGGAACAGCATCTTGGCAGGTGGGTCGCAAGTAAAGGAATCCAGAAAATAACATCTCAAACTATGCTGCATTGGTATGATGATTATGTAAAACCAAAGGCATTTAGAAAGCAGCAAATGCACAAAAAGACTTTTCCTAAATATCCCTTATCTGCCTAAAAGGAGATTCTCCAGAAGTAAACCAATCATCAGGAAAATTCTTCCTGAGAATTTTTATATCAGGGAAGATTAACACAGAAGAGGAATCTAAAATAGAAGAGACTGGAAGTTGATGCTTTATCCAGACAGGCTATTACCTGCTCTTTTGAGGATGCACTTTTATTCTCATCTGTTCTCTCCAGGTTGCCCACACTTCCCAATTCCCTCTTCCCTAGAAAGAAAATATGAACAACTGGATCTCATTGAGTTATCTGGGTAATCACCCTGCTATGATATCCCACTGCATTTTAAATGAATTTTGTTTTCCTTTTCTCTTATTAATCTTTCTTTTGTGAGTTCATTTTCAGCAAACAGTTAGAGGACAAGTGGAGATTTCTTCCTTTCTCCAAATATAAGCAAGTTCCCTTACAATTCAGGCTGCTTACAAAGCAGCAGGAAGGTTTGTGCACAGGCAACTGCACTGTGATTTGGCTCCCCTAGTCAGGCACCAGTAAAATTGTGTAGAGTCCTAGGATGCAGCCCACTGCTGCTGATGTAGTTGGAGCCACTTCTCCTGCTACTGAGCCAGGCTGGGACATTTTTGGGCACATTAGAGATATTAGATATAATGAGTGAAAATCCCTGTCCAATTTCATCTGGATCCAACTGATTTCTCCATGTGCATAGGCAATTGCTTGATAAGAGATTCAGTGTCTCTTTCCTAAAGATGTTAACAGGGTTGCTGGTGTCTGGGTAAGGATGATATCCCAATCACTGATAAAAAGTAAAAGAGGATAGTGGCATTCAT